AAAAATGATTAAATGGAACAAGGAGGGCAAAAAAGGTATTATAAACCAATATGAAGTAAAAAAGCCAAAAAAAATCTTAACAAGATTGATCCAACGCAAAAGGTAATCATTACTTATAAGGTAGATAATAAACTAGCCTATGACCCTTATGGAAAAATGATAGATGCTAAGAAAATGAAAGGGAAAGCATGAAAAGAAAAATGGAGATATCGCACAGGAAATTATCGGGTTATTTACAAAATCTACGAAAAGGAAATTTATATTGATATATTGGAGGTAGATGACAGAAAAGACATCTACGACTAACTTTTTTTAATATCAGTCAGTGGTCTTTAATTCATTTTCTTCTTTATCTCCTTTAAATAGTTTGATAATTCATGCTACCACTCCAATAATTCTAGAAATAGCGATTAATATTCCTCCTGTTTCTCCCAACTTATTTCAAGTTAAGTTTTATTGGTGTCTCTTTTATTGTAATTCTTAGACTTCTCTGTGTCTTCTTTCATCGGCTTCGCTATTTTCTTTAAGTTGTTTTTTCACTGTCTCCAATTCCTCTTTAAGGAGTTTTATTTCTTCTTTTAGTTTCTCGTTTTCGTTCATGTAGTTCTATTTTCACGGCCACGGCCTTTTTAAAAACTTGGTTCACACGACATAAAAAACAGCAATGGCGTCTCTCTGATGGACTGTCAATTCTCGGCCTTGGAAATATCAAATATTTTTCGGCCTGCCTCGTTCTCCTTGGACTTGCTTCATGATTAAGCCTGTTATTTTGCTACTTTCTACGGCTCTTTTAGTTTCCAAGTTATAGACTTTATACGCATGGGCGGGCGATATACTATTAATATTAATTAGATAGATAAGGTATTATTCCATTTATATAAACAAGTTCCAGTCAGTCAAAATTAGCATATTTGGTTTTGAGAAAGTTGGCGGTTTCTCATCCAATCATTAAGGGCTTTTTATTTTTGATTAAAATATCTATCTTTTTGCCATGTTCTACGCTGTTTTCTCCTTCAATGGTTCCAATTTCTCAATTATGGATATCATGGAAAAGAAAATAACCAGTCTCGGAGGTTCCAGCAGGGTCGAAAGTTAGGATGTTGCTGCCTATCATATAAGAGTTTTTGCGGTTGGGCGGTTCTCTTTTGGGTTTTTGGCACTTTGGCTCCCTAGTCAACTCGTATCTGACTAGATAAAGTTTTCGTTCCTATCGCTCTTTAAAACTTGCTTGGGTTAGATGGTAAATTATAGTTAGATGTTATTTTCCTAGTTTTGAACTCCTTGGGAGTTCTTTCGAAAAATAACCGCCATAATTTTCACTATTCCCAAGGAGATAAAGAGAGAAACGAAAAATCAGTCAGAAAAGAAAGGGAGCAAAGCGGGGAAAAATTGTGCTTGGTTGGGGTTGGGGTGTTCTCTGGTTTCTGCTGTTAGTTAGAAGAGAAAGGCGGAGAGGTTGGAAGGTTGTGGGGTTCTTTTCGCATGTGTGTAGTAGTTAGCAAGTTCATAGTTTCTTATTAGTTAGAGCCAGTAAGTTTCTTTTTCTTTTTTTCTTTCAAATGTTTTTTTCTATTGTAGTCAG